TTCATTCAGTCATTTACCGAGTAACTATCTGAATGCCTAGTGTATGTCATGCAGTGTGCTAAACTAAACTTGGGGACAAAAAGTCAAGTAAGATTTGACCCTGCCAGAGACTGAAAGTGATCTGCACAAAAATTCCCTAAGGACTGTTACTGTTCTCACTTCAAGGAAGAGGAGCAGAGGCTCAGAGCAATTGTGGGGCTTATCTAAGGTTACACAGAGAGAACATGGCAGGCCTGGGTCTGAATCCATATGTTATGCTCTTTCTTTACTACACAGCTGCTTTCTATTAACCCCAAATTCTAGAACAAATTATTTTAGCAGATGGCCATAACACACTTTAAAAAGAAGGTGGGCCGAAACCGGTTTGGCTCAGTGGATAGAGCGTCGGCCTACGGACTGAAGGGTCCCAGGTTCGATTCCGGTGAAGGGCATGTACCTTGGTTGCGGGCACATCTCCAGTAGGGGGTGTGCAGGAGGCAGCATATCGATATTTCTCTCTCATTGATGTTTCTAACTCTCTATCCCTCTCCTTTCTTCTCTGTAAAAAATCAATAAAATATATTTTTAAATAAATAAATAAATAAATAAATAAATAAATAAATAAATAAATAAAAAGAAGGTGGTAATCTTAGGTGCCAGTGCAAAGAAGTAGTCAAACAGAATGGCAAGCTAAACCCACCACTCTCTCTTCTGGTCTGGCAAAGCTGTAGAAATCCCATGTATCTCAGTTTTGTTCATCACTGGTCTAAACAAAATGGGAATATGTGGCCAGGATGAGGGCACAGTTGGGTGAAACATCATATGGTGAATGAGGGAGGCTGGAGTGTGTTATCAATAGATAGCCAAAAAACTAGATGGTAGTGACATGCCACAGTGCTCTGTCCTTGGCCTGGTCCCATTCATATATTTGTTTATTCACACACACACACACACACACACACACACACACACACACACACACGTAGCATTTATTGAATGGTGATGAAATATAAAGGCTCTATGCCAGATACAGGGGGTCTGTGGGGGAACACCAAATTGTGCCATGTAGATTTTTCTTCAAAAGGGCTTCGCATACTAGCCGTTGAGAGTGCTACTGTATGACAGCTTTCAACTGTTCACACTTCAGGCTCTGCCTCAGCTGCAGAGAGCGACTTGGCCCAAGGTCACGCCTCTTCTTAGCCTGCCCATATCAAAGTACTGATTGATGTAATAGTATGAGGGTTATTAATCTCAGCCAAACTCAGGTCTGACCTGAAGGGTCATTCCACCTCTGGAGCTCCTCGTGTGCTCAGCTCAGCTTAGCTTAGTTTAACGTCTCCCTATGCCCACAGGTGTTATAAACAAGGTCACTCCTTAATAAACATCCTGCACATTAAACTTAAACTTGGAGTTGGAATCAGTCTGTTTCATGGAAAACCCATTGATAAAATAAGGTGCTTATTTTAAAAATAAGAGCACAACTACAACCAAAGACAAAAGTTACATGGAGACAGCATTTTGGACTTAATAACTTTCTTTCAAAAGTGAAACAGCCTGCTTCAAAAAACACTAAATGCTGTAAGTCAGAGGGAACACTATTACTCTTGGAAGAGTCTTTATCAACCAAAAACATTCGTATTTTAATTAAATTTGTTTTTGTTCATCCTGCTGCTGGCTATCATATAGCACAGCAGCACTAGTATTTAGAAATTAGTGATTAGAAATTTGTAAAAGAAAATTTCCTAGATTCTGGGAATAATCTGAAGGCAAATAGGAAAGTAATTCCCTTTCCCGCCTGAATTTCAAAAGCAATATGAAATTATTTAAGGCATAGTGGCAGAAACTGTCACTGTTTACACCAGTATGCAATATCTAAAAGCTCATTTGTCTTTTAGTAAAAATTTGTCAATTTTAGCTTGTTACATGGCTATCTAGCCAAAGACTACATTTCCCAGACTCCCTTTCAGCTAATGTGGCCATGTGACTAAAATATGTACAATGAGATCTGAGTGGTGGTGATGGGTGCAACTTCTGGTTAAAGCAGCAGTTCTCAACCTGTGGGTCGCGACCCCTTTGGGGGTCGAATGACCCTTTCACAGGGGTCACCTAAAACCATCGGAAAACACATATATAATTACATATTGTTTTTGTGATTAATCACTATGCTTTAATTATGTTCAATTTGTAAAATGAAATTGGGGTCACCACAACATGAGAAACTGTATTAAAGGGTCGCGGCATTAGAAAGGTTGAGAACCACTGGGTTAAAGGCTTAAAGGAAACCACTTGACTTTTATTTTCTATTTCCTCCATCCCAAGGTTGGAACATGGAGATGATTGATGGTGGTAAGGCAGCAGCACCCTAGAAAAGTGAATCAATAATACACAAAGTCCTTGAATGATCCCTGGAGTAGGACTTTATTACCTATCTGGGCTATCCACCAACTGTGACTTTTATGTGGGAGAGAAGTAAATCATATATTTTGTTTAAGTCATTACCATTTTGGTCTCTGTTAAAACAGCTCTACCAATATTCTAACTTATACAGAAGCCAAATCAACAACTAAAACCTGGGTGATGTTTAGTCTTTGCTCTGGCAGCATGCTATTTTCCAGGAAACTGCAACATAAGAATAGAAATTAACTTCCTTTATCTATGAGTTTAATCTTAAAATTCCTCAAAAGAAATAGAAACCAGAAATCCAACATAAGTCATTGTTATGAATAGCTTACCATTAGGAATTTCTTCTATTTCTAATAGTGTAATGATGGATGCTTTTGTAGTGTAAGAACCATCGACTAAATGAAATATTCTGATGTATCATTAACTGGTATAGGTTCTATTTCTCTTTTTACACCAGAATTAAGTATAGATATATAAATGGTCTGATTGTTTTGGTGGAAACATCTCAAGTTGTACAAATTATTTGCCATTTTTATCATGGTACTAAGTGAATTACAGAAGGTTACCTGTTTTTGGAGATAATGTACTGGATATGTGAAATATAGCTACATATGGATTATCTAGATGTGAATTAGGATTCTAAAGCCAAAAAAATGTTTCAGTTACAATGTCCCTTTATACTTATGTATATCCAGAAACATGCTTATCTTTTCCTAAAGTAGCAATAACAGCTCATTCTCCTATACTAAATATAAAAAGTCACAGATATTTGCAAATCATAGTGGCAGAGCCAGGTTCTCACATTAGAGGGAACCAGCTGGGGGTGCAGGGATGGTGGGGGTAGGGGGACCCAAGGGCCTTTTGATTTGTGGTGTTGCTGCTATGCAGAAACAGTCTACCCCTGTGATTACTTTTTCTCAGTGTCTCCATTTTAATTTCACACTGCTTTCCCTATCATCTTTTCATCAGAGTCCTAACCACATCCTGCCAATATATCACCTTTAAAATAGGTGTTGGGAGGGCTCAGAGGAAGCAGCCCCTCTTCCTGCTGAATCCTCAGCAGCATTTCTGGTTGGAGGAATAACCAGCAGATGACTGGGAGATACATATTCTTCCTGATAAAGGGCATTTCTTCTTTCTGAGATTCCACTAGCTTTCAGCAAATATCTACCATGTGTCTGGCTATTCTAGTAAGTTTTCTTTCATGTAAATTTGTTCATTTAATCCTGTAAATTTATCTTTTGCACTTATCTCAGGAAGCTTCCAAATGCCCAGTAAGTTTATTACAACCTACAGAGAAGAGGATATAAACTGGTTTTGGGCAGTTAAATACATTTTTATAATCAATAAAAAAGGTTCAGTAAGTGAGAAATGATTTGAAAGATGTCAACTGAAGAGTGAAAATGTGTGCATTTAAAATGCTCCCATTACTAGAAATCACTAGTAGTACAGACCAATACGTAAGTGAAAATCTGTATCTTCCATGCAGAAGAGAGAAAAAGCTAATATACCTCATGCCTCCTTTTTTTAAGTTAACATATAAGTATATGATTAAAAATGACCTGGAACATCACTTGCTGTGGTTGATTACTATTAGCAATCATTTTAGCTGTCACTAACAGTAGTGAAAAAGGCCATTATAAGCACTAAGCACTGTAGAAGGTGTCATTAAAGACTTTATTCATCCCAGGCAGGCATCTATCAAAGGAGAGATGATGACAACTCCTTTGGAAAGGTTAGCTGAGATATTTCCAGAAGCATGTCAAAAGTGGTTCAACATTTATTAACTTCTTGTTTAGGGGGAATGCTGTAGGGAGATCACATCTCTCTGAAGAAGATGCCAAGAACATATCAGCTGCTAGTGTGAGAGCCTTCAGCTGCTCTTCACAGCTATTTTTAGAAAACAATTGTATCATTTATCAAACACCACAGAGAAAATACTGTAAATGTTGGAACTTGAGAATTCAACAACTAAAGAAATTTAATAGATGGGAATTGGAGGAAGTATAAATTGTGGGGAAAAATACCAATTTGAATAATACAAATAAGACATACCTGTATTTGAGGTGTCTAAAAGGTAAGAGTACTTAAGACAATTTGATAATAAAATATAATAAAGATTATGAGGTTTAAAATAATTTTAGACAATATTAGACTACTATATTTTTAAAGCATAACAATGAGATGCTTTTAAAGAAAATTAATTTTCTTGGTTTTCTTCCCAGTTCATATGTGCTATGTCATAAAAATAGTAAGATATGTTTTTAAATAAATATCATTATTAGTACATATGTAAACTTTATATTGTTTTCAATTGCTGTAGAAGTAAGTCTGGATAATGTGTTTTTTTTTTCTTCTTTTGAAAATGCTTGCAGGAAAGTAAGTAAAAAGGAAATGTGGCCCTATGCATTTTTACTATTTTGAAAAGCACAAGAAATGCAATGTAAAATGAGTATAACTTTCAAAAGCCAGAATAAGCTGTTTAAGGGTTCTAGAGTTCATAAAATGGGGACCATAGGCAGCCTTCAGCGTAAGAAGGATCTGTTCTACTTAATGCTCATGGGCAGAACACAGCTCTTTGTCCAACCTCACCCAAGCTTGACATAAAAACCACTCACCACTGGTGATGGGGAAAGTGCAATGTTGCCTATCGATGCCTTCAGTTCATCTACAGTTGCAGCGTTCTTAAGAATGTCTTTAGACTGCAGTGGCTTAATCTTGATATTAAATTTCTTGTGTGATTCTTCTTCCTCTTCTGATTCACTTGAAGAATAAAAGTGCTTTCCTTTGGTAGGTAGGACACAGTTAAAGATACATAACTTACTTGGAGGCAGTGATGAGTATAAGAGAAGAGTGATTGCACATAGTGGTGGCAAAAGTATCCTTAAGAAAGTAGAAAATCAAAGCAAAACAAACAAATAAAAGAGTAAGTCAGGCTCTAGCTGGTTTGGCTCAGTGGACAGAGCATCTCCCTGAAAACCAAAGGGTCCTGGGTTTGATCGGTTGCAGGCTCCCAAGCATCACTGAGGGCACATGCAGGAGGCAACCAATCGATGTCTCTCTCACATTGATGTTTCTCTCTCTCTCTCTGCCTCTCTCCCTCCTCCCCACTCTTTCTGAAAATCAATGGAAAAATGTTCTCAGATGAGGATTAACAAAAACAAAAAAATAAAAAGTAAATCAGGAAGGGGTTAGAATTTATTCATCTTTCCCTGGAACAAGATTAAGGATGGTGAATTTCAAGGAGCAATAGTTATAATGTCCTACTTTTTTGCTGCAGTTAGCCATTTGGTGTGTCACTCTCAGCACACACACTGCGGAGCCTTCTACGGAGAGAGGAAAATCATTTTGATGGACGATTTGTAATGAGTTTTAAGTGCTTCAGAGTGTGGCCTGTTCTGCCCAGAGGTGATCTGTGGGGAGAGCACAGTCCAGGTAGTTGCCAGTCATGATAAATGACACTTTCACATCAGGCTTTAGCAGACAACCTCGTATCCACAATGTGCACAGTTGTTTTTCAGCACATTTTTCTCTTTCTCCTCTCTCTCTCTTCTATGAATAGAGTGAGGCAAAATGCCTGCTTGTTAGTGATCAGGCTGTTCTCTGTGCTGTGTATTCATCTCTAATATTATGGACAACAGGGCTTGGGAAGCTAGGGTTATTTCAACACCTTTTTAAAACCTGAATTTATAATACTGCTTTATGAGAAAAAATAAAAGATAAATAAAGAAAGGATATAGCCGGGTTCCTCGGGTCTGATGCTGTAGCCTTCTTCATCCAGCTCGGGTGAGTTCTATAAAATACAAGTGAACATAATGCAATTACTATCCTGACAATAATCAAAGAATTATTCATTTGCCTTCTAGAGCCTTCTACTTAAGGATCTAAACATGTCTCTATTTTTGGAGGTAAGGATTTTAACTTTTGGAAGTGAATGCTGGGCAGGATATAGATATAGATATAGATATAGATATAGATATAGATATAGATATAGATAGATATTTATTCAAGGAAATGTGGGGAGTCTTTCTATTGGGAAAACAAACTAGGAGTCAACAACTGTCAATGAAAGGAAACATTCAGAAAGAATTTACCATGCATTTTCTATGAGCCAAGGACTTTGCTCAGCAACATGAAGGGATATAAAATGGAAATTACTTGTCCTTTGGAAAATTGAAATGTATTTGGTAGGCAAAAAATAAAAACAAAAATACAAAATACAAAACACAAGACATCAATGATAGGAGTGTGAAGGAAGAGGAAATTAGTGAGGTTTGAAAGAATCAGGGATCTGCATGTGCCTTTGGGGATAGAGGGGGGTACAGAAGGGACTCACTGATGAGGAAGAGTCTGTATTGAGACCTCCAAGGCTGAAACAGACAACCTTATTCAGATGACATGACTGGAAAGGAAGCTGTACAGTGAGAGGCAATGGGAAATAGGACCATGGGTGGCCAACATGCTGGGGGAAGAGTTCATACTTGATATAGTTACTGCAGCTTCTCATTTAGGGGAGGGCATGCCGGAAGCAGCATCTTAAGGTGTTTGGGAAGCACACTTCAGGATAGACTGGGCACAGAAGGAAATGGAGGGAAAAAAAAAAACTAATTCAAAATACTTGCATCATGCCCATAAGATGTGCTGATAATATAGGCAAAGTTGGTGGTGGTGGGAAGGGATGAATCAAGTACATTTGGAAGGACAAACTGCTAGTCTTGTTAACAGATTTATCATAGGAGAAAAAGGAGAGGGAAGGTTCAGGAAAACGCTAGGATTTCTACCCTCAAATCCTAGGAGACTGCTGGTACTCCCGGCTGAACTAATTGTAACAGCAGACAACTAATATTTTTGGAAAAAGACAGGAAAGAGAAAAGATAGTTTGCATGATTAGAATTAGTTATTATATTTTACTTCCTATTATAAGGTAAGTACTATGACCTACACTTTATTTCATTGAACCTTCATAACAATCATATGTGGAATTATTCTATTTACCAAGAAGGAAACTAAGAGAAATTAGATGCTATTTCTCAAGGAACTCACACAGCAAATGGCAGAACCACTCCTTGATCCCAGGTATTTGAGACTATAGCCTACACTGTAGAGGGGAAGAAGGTGAAGAAGAGTTCAATAATGACCCTTTTGAAGTTGAGGTAATAGGCCTGCAAGTCAGAGAGAACAGAGCTGGAGAGAGATTTTGGAGTCACTGAAACAATGAAAGTGCCATGACCAAGGGGAGAGAAGATGGCCTGAATGCATTCTGTCCTTCTTCATTACTTAGCTTTCTTTCTTTTTCTTTCTTTTTTAAATAAAAGTATATTAAGACCACTTACCTGCTAAAAATGTATCTGTGGCTTCTCACTGCACTCAGAATAAAAGCCCATGCCCAGCTGGTGTGACTCAGTGGTTGAGCATTGACCCATGCACCAAGAAGTCACCAGTTCAATTCCCAGTCAGACACATGCCCAAGTTGCAGGCTCGATCCCCAGTAGGGGACTTGTAGGAGGCAGCCGCTCAATGCTTATGTTTCTCTCTCATCATTGATGTTTCTATCTCTCTCCCTTTCCCTTCCTCTCTTTCTAATGTCAATAAAAAATTTTTTTTAATATAAAATGAAGTGCCTCTGTGTAGCCCACAAGCTCCTGCGTGACCTGGCTCAGGATCCTCTCTCTAGCCTCAGGTTTGAGATTCTCTTTTCTGATCCCCCTCAGCCACAAGGCCTTCTTCCCATTATATGGTAAGTACTATGACCCAATGTTAACTTACGATATGAATGCTGCAAGTTTTTTTTTTTTTTTTTTTCCATTTCAGGGTCCTTATAAATGCCATTCTCTCTGCCTGAAATTATCTTTCTTTTTTTTTTAAAAAAAAATATATTTTTATTGATTTCAGAAAGGAAGAGAGAGGGAGATAGAAACATCAATCAAGAGAGAGAATCATTGATCGGCTGCCTCCTGCATGCCCCACACTGGGGATCGAGCCCAAAACCCGGGTATGTGCCCTGACTAGGAATTGAACATGACCTCCTGGTTCATAGGTCCATGCTGAACCACTGAGCCATGCTGGCCAGGTTGCCTGGAATTATCTTTCCTCAAATGTTCATCCAGTTAATCTCAATTTATACTTTAGTGTAGGAGTAGGGACCTTTTTTTCTGCCAAGGGCTATTTGGATATTTATAACATCATTTGAGGGCCATATGAAATTATCAACTTTGGCCTGCTATATTTGGTCAAACATTTAATGAATTCACCACTAATGCCTTGGCAGGGCCAGACTAAATTATTGGGTGGGCCTTAGAGGGCCCGCCAGCTGGATGTTCCCCACCCCTGCTTTAGGGCTTCCCTTTATTAAAGGTCAAATCCTCCCTAAGGCTGTCTCTGCTCTTACCCTCTCCCTGCCAAAAGCAAGATGATAGAATGTATTAAGAATAAAGCCCTTCTCATTATTTAGAGAAAGTTGTATCTAATGTATAATTATAATAGCAATTCCTGTGTGGCCTTATTAGTTTTTAGGACTAACAACACTTGAGGAAAATTATGCTTCAATTAAGCACTTGCATGTTGACCAGGTACAGCACTGGAGTTTAGGATTTGTGTGCTAGATGTGAGGGGATAGTGCTTGATGAGTAATTTGGTATTTTAATTATCATACTTGTTTATTTAGAGTATCACATTCATGCATATTTAAGAATCCTAGAAAATATAACAAGAGTCTTTCTAGGTAAAAAGAATTTTTAAAAATCACCCTTTCTTAATATCTCATATCTTCCCTTACAACACTATTTTGAGCAAATAATTAGTTTATTGAATCCTTGCAATAATCTTGTAAAGTAGCTATTGACTTAATTTTTGCTGGACAGCAAATTACTATCCCAAAACCACATACAGATGACTTGTGGACAGGCTAGGTCTTGAACCCATATCTAACAGCCTTTACTGCTCTTAGCCTGTCTACCATGTTAGTCGTGCCAGGCACTATCTGACGAGATGGCATGTTTCACTTATTTCTATGTCATATTTTAAATACAAGAATGCCTCAACTCATTTTCAAGTTCTGAAATACTTAATAAAGAAAAAAACATTTTCTGATACTCACGTATCTTTCCCAATCAATTTCTGCATAAAATCCATTTGGTGCCCCATTGCTTTTCTTCTGTAATAAATGTGAAAATAAATTTAGAAGAGGAACATTTGAATGAAACAAAAAAGGAATAAAGAAACTTAACTCTTATCTTTATTTTACAAGAGCTATCAATACCCAGGACTGGAAGGACAAATCAGAGCAGCCTATTAAGCAGCCACATTAGTGTAACCAAATGGTAAACTGAGTTGCAGTGACACTGCCTAATAGAGCTTCCGTACTTACTGTACAAAAGACTGTAGAATACCTAAGCATTGAATATTCACTACTAACTGTTCAAATTTTATTCAATTACTAAAGAATTAGAAGCATCTACATTATAATTTAATTCTCTATACCTTCAGGGGATAAAAACAGATATATATATATATATATATATATATATTTAAATGGAAACATGTTGACTTCCATGTTGCTCTCATATACAATCAGTTCCAACAATACCCAAAGAGTATTCATCCAAGTAGTTAACTAATTTTTTAGCTTTTCTAATACTAACTTACTTTTTTCCTAACCATCCCCTTGATAGATTATAAAGGAAATCAGCTTCAAATTAGTTAATTCAGCTCCTAGGTATTAAAAATGGTGTTGATATTCTTTACAAGTGGCTTTAAAAAACAAATTACTAAAATAGAATAATAGGATTCATCATGGATTTTTCTGTCATCCATGTGTCCTATGCCTCCAGAAACACACATCATTGCAAAATGAATGGAAATCAGCATTATTCTCTCTAGATTATTTGAAAGTTCTATTTTGACTCCTAGTACTACCATGATATATGGCCACAAGCACTTGAGCAAGAATGTGGCCTTATCCAAAAAGAAATTACTAGGATTCTCTACTTTTTGTGAGAAGGCAAAGAGACAAATCAAGTTGGTGATGGAGGGTTCATTCAGCATTCGGGTATTTAGCACATAGAGCAATGGTATGTCACTGGGCACAAGCAGATCTCAGAACAACACAAAATAAACGGTGACATGTGAGGCGTGAAGACAGAACCTCTAATTCTGGAATCACAAATGAAGGCGAGTTGGACCACAATGTGAACAGTTAACACTCAGTTTGACAAATAGGCAGGAGAAGTAAGCTTTTCATGTTTGCATGTAGGACCACTAGAAAACCAAATTAGAGGTAACCAACATCATCGATTAATACTTACTGAATGTTGCCTGGGCACTCTAAAAACCCACAATAGCTTAGTAAGGGTGAACACGCATAAGGAATAGATAATATGTTCAAGTCCTCTCTCTTCCTTAGGACTGCCACTGTACTAGAATTTATAAATGCAAAAACTATGCCAATGTTTTCACTGACCAGAACCCAAGAACACAGGCCCTGTGCCCCTCTTCCTTTTTCCTGCTCCTAAAAAATATTATATACTCAGACTACATCATTTTAACTTTTCCGCATAATTGCCTTCATTGAATTAGTGCTTTACTGATATTCTTTCTACTTTGAGCAAAGGTTGTTCTAAAAACCTGTCACATCAACTCTGCACCTGTATGAGCTATAAAGCTGTTGCTGAAGACACGGTTCATTAAATTATGAGCCAACTAATAAAAGAAAAATCTCTTCCATGGGGAATAGGCATTGTTCCTCTTTTCTTTTTGTTGTTTGCTTTCTTTTTTAATTCATACTTTGCCAATCTGTTTGCATATGCCTTCTTTGCAAAATTCTCCAAATCCTTCTTAGAAAGCACATATAATAAATTTAATATACAAACTTAACTTTTATAATAATGGGAATAAAATGGTCAAAGTTGATCCGAAAGAACTAAACTCATGAATTTTGTAATCAGTATAATACTACCATTGATAGACCTTTTAGTTATTAAACAATTCTTCAATACATAGGATTGTTATCTAAAAACTGATGAGATTAGTTAAATTACTGAGTTCAAAATTTTCAGTTCTATAGTTTGCCTCTATGATAATTTCATTTCTATTACCAATGCTTTTCTATTACAAATCCCAGTTTCTATGGAAACCAATGGAAGATTGAGATGAGAAGAAAGCAAAACTTATAAAATTTTTTTCTTTTAAAATAGGAACATTTTAATCACAAATACTACACATAAACAAAAAATCATAAAAATACATTCTTTTGGGAAGATATTCAACACACACACACACAGAGAGAGAGAGAGAGAGAGAGAGAGAGAGAGAGAGAGAGTGAGAGAGAGAGAGCGCTTTATTAGAAGAATCTGGCCTCATTCATGCTAGTGAATTCTTACAAATATATTTGGTTTCACAAATGGAAATTATCAAGTTACTGATAAAGATTCTTCTGGTAAACCCCAAGAAAGAAACAATTCTCTTGGTTTAAGCACTTAAGCAAGTGCAGCTCATAGTGATAATAAGTGAAGGTAATGGCTCTATTGATTTTCATTTGGAAAACGTTGTAGAAGCAAGGAAGAAGATAAGTGGGGAAATATCATTTAAAAACTAGGCTTAATAGTACAAGCAACAGTGGCTACTCAGCATTATATAAAGAGTCATCTTTTCCTTCGAGTTGGAGTTATACCTTATTTTACTTTTTTCTTTTGTGTTTTTTCCAAACTTCTACACTTTGCATAAGTAACTTTCATTATGTGAGTATATAACTGTCATTTAAAGATAATTGAGGCTCGTATCAACGTTACTCTTAATAGGCATTTTACTTTGGTCAGGCCTATTATCTGTTCTCAGATAATATGATGGGCTAAATCAATAAATGTGGCAACAATTGTGTTTAGTTATACATTTATCAAAGTTCTCAGTTTCCACCAAGAGTGCTCCTGTTTTCCTAGGTCAGCTCATGGCCACATAGTAGTCGTCAGGTGAGAAATGTTAAAGACACAGGTTGTACTGCCTAAATATGATCTTTTTGCCACTGAGATGGACTTGACTCATTTTGCAAATAATCCTGTGGGACAGCACTGTCCAACAGAACTACCTGTGAAGATGGAAAGGTTCTAGATGTGTGCTGTCCAATATCATACCCACCAGCCACAAGAGGCTCTGGAATACTGGAAATGGGGCAGTGTGATTGAGAAACTGAACTGTAAATAGGCTACCATATTGAACAACACTGCTATCGTTGTTCCCTCCCCTAGGCCAAGATCAGCATTCCTGAGTCAACATCCTTTGGTCAAGGACAGTGTTCCCACAAGCCACGGTCCTGCCAAATTCCTAATGTTACTGAGATAATGCTTTTCCTAAAAAATGATTACTCAGTTTGTATACCTTGCTTATATTGGAGCCAAAGATTTCTTATAAATAAATTCTTTTTAAAATCTGAATACCTTTCCTTTGTCTCAGATAAAGGAAACACATTTTTTGCCTTGTCACTGTTTAAAAAAAAATGCTTATATTGATTTTGAGAGAGAGAGAAAGGGAGAAGGAGATAGAGAAACATGGATCAGCTGCCTCCCAATTGCATCCCGACCGGGGATCAAGCCCGCAAGCTATGCATGTGCCCTGACCAGGAAGGGAACTGGCAACCTTTTGGTGCACAGGACCATGCTCGACCAACTGAGCCACACCAGCCAGGGATGCCTGTTCACTCTTTAAAAGTATAGTCAGACATCAGCATATAGACTAGGGTCTACATGGTTGATTTAAACACTGGCTCCACGTTTTCAAAAAATAATTTGGAAATAACTAAAAAAGACTCTTCTTAATTGGAGTAAATAAATGCTACTCTTTTTTTTCAAGTTTCAGGTTGGGATTTTACTTACTGTTTCTACAAACCCTTGGAAATTTTAAACTAAAATCTGTTTCCTTACCGAAACTTTTTTTCCTCCTTCACGCGCACACTCTGCTTTGTTATTGTAGGGTGGTTCATGTGGGCTGGGCTGCTGGAATGGATTGTTTTCATGTAGAAAAAGTTGTTAAAGGATCTGTTTGTTCTTTAAGACACATATAAAGAATCACATGGGGTCAGCAAACATACCATAGAAGAAACAATTTCTAGGCCAAATTGTAGGGCCTACCAATCTTGGCAGGGTTCCTTAAACAAAGAGTGGACTTTGGGGCCCATAATGAGGCTCTATTCAGCAGGCCAGTGTAGCTAGGTCAGGAGAAGAGAGAAGAGGAAGAAACATCCCAGGCAGGAGAGACTGTGTGGATCTCGTCCTCATTCAGCCAGTTCTTGGTTTACAGGTAGAGAACAGACACCAGGACACACTAAGACTGAACAGAAACGGATGTACTGCTAATCAAAGTATGAAAATTTAGCTCCATTATACTTTACCCTGGACCTAAGCCTTCCTGAGGGTCATCAATACATATAGCACACACAGCTGACAGCTCCAAATCTGGGCCTTTCCTGTACACCTGCTCGGGATGAGCAGAGACGATGCCCTCAGGCCATGTGTAGGTGGAAATCTGCACTGTTTAGGAAAAAGTTAAAGTGTTGCCTGCATGGTTAGAGTTTGTCTCTGGGTTAGATTGCATTGTAACACACAGCTGCTGGAAATCTCAGACACCAGGACAAACAGTCCTGTAGGGGACAGGTACATCCGGCCACGTGGGGAGCAAGACATGCCCACCTTCCTACATGGAACCTTGCCACAAAGCCTCTGTATATTAAACTGCAAAAGCATTGTCACCAGAGATGGGCTTCACCAAATTTTGAGGAACTGAAATAAGCTCAAATACATTAAGCCTATTGTGTAGCCCTGTGTTGACAAGCCATTTATAAGCATGCACCATCACCTATAGTTTATATAACTACACCAGTGAAACCATAAATTTCCACTTCAGACACCCAGAGACAATAATTTGGAAGCTAACTCAGCCACGTAAAAGTGGACTAGGTCCACAGATGCAAGGTCTTAATCAATCTGAATTTGAAAGAAAATCAGGTTGAGGTCTCTAAGGACCAGATGCAAACAGAAACTTGGACCTCTAGGGCCCTGGTATGATAAGGAGTTTTCAAATTCGGTGACCACAGTTAGTGGGGGAACTTGGGTAACGTTTCCAAATAGTACAACTAGCAGCTTGTACAACCTACGAAGCTGTGCATCCTGTTTCAGAGAACATGTATTTATTTAGAATGTAGCCTTTTTCAAGTGGGTCTGCATTATTTCCTGAGAAATTGAAATTAAATAATTCCCCTTTCCTAATAATCAGGGAGACTTATGGTATTTCCAATGAAGAAACAAAGAGGGCACAGGTACTAATAAGTAACTTTATATGACTTGGAATGTGGTGGTACAGGAGCACTCAGGGAACTCCAGTACAAAGCCCTGAGCTGGAGTGGACAAGTCCACAGCATCACGGCCAGGCTCATCAATGCAGCCTGGACTCATAGTTGCCCACACCATGCCAGTGCCGTAACAGGCACCTGGGTGCACAGTCCACCAGAGATTTAAACTGGTGGTCCCTGGAAGAGCAGAGAACACTGAGGTAGCCATGGGGCCTCACAGACAATGAGCTGGTGGGTGGGAGGGACTTTAGAAAAAGGAAAAAGGACAAGACTGAGGGTGGCAGAGGGAAAGAAGCAAGAAACAGCAATCCAGCCTGGGAGCAATAGGGAGAGAAAGCAGAGAACAGCTAACGGAGCCTTGCAGGGGCCAGAACAGAGGGGACAAGAGAACCCAGGGAGGGGACCCAGACAGCAGCAAAGAGAAGACACAGTAGCAGAGAGAGAGAGAGTACCTGCGAGAGAGTTAACGAGAGGGCTCTGAGCCAGAAGCAAGAGGTGAGGAGAAGCTGAGTCTTCTGGGTCTTTTTTTTCCCCTGCTGAATAGAGCCTTGATTATAGTGTTACCCAATGTCTGGTAAATTTCAGTCTATTCTCTTAACATTTCATGGCAAGAACTACATGAATGCAAAAGGCACCCCAAAGCTAAGAACCCTGAGTCAAATGTGGGCGAAAAACTCGTGCTATAGCTGCGATTAACACCCCAATGTAGGTATATTATTATAAAGGGTGATTTTTTAAAAAAAATTTTTTTAACCACCAGGTTTATTTTCGTTCCCACTCCAACCCAATGAGCCTAATGTGAGTCAATTCCCCCCCCCCCCCGCCCAGTAACAGCTGTTCTTTTGAACCTTATGAATAGGCATCTGATTTAGATTTGAAAGAAATCATTTTAGAAGTGGGTGCAGACTCCCATAAGCACAACTCAGATAAATCCAAGCCAAGGCACCACAGACTTCTTTAAAAATCAAGAAATCTGGTGACCAGCAAGGAGTCAGAGTTACTGTTAAATCTAAACCCAGTGGATGCATTTTTCTCCTTCAGGCTGTAAATTCAGGCATAAGTGGTTTCAAGACCATTCCCTACTTGTGAATTTAATATAGAAAATGTATCTGCAGCTTAACTACAAAAGGGGGAAAGTTTCTTTCAATTTTATTGGAGCTCAGCTCCATTATGACTTTGTGGCCTCTGTTAGAGAAAAACATTCTCACATAATGAGCTTTTATATCATTAAGTTGGACATGAAATAACAGTTGATGGCAGCAGCCCCTGCAGGAACTGTCTGGTTTGTGACCCACCATACTGATGCCTAGTTTGCTTGCCTAATCTGGGCAGGGTTTTAGGTGAATACAATAAATAAGTTTAACTTGACCAAGACTGCATGTATGTCCCATGCAATTCCTACAGAATATTATAATAGTGAGAGGTCTGAAAAGCCATTTAAGCTACTTTTTCCCTATAGAAAGCAAAAAGAAAAGCAATGGGGCTTTAAGAAATTTAAACATAGCATATATTGAAGTGCAAACCTACTAAAAATGATCATTTAAATACTTACAATTCCATCTCTATCGGGTGAACCTCTGTAACAAAAAGAAATTTGTAGCTATTAGGAAAATGAATCATTCTTGCTACATAGACCAAAGTATAAGAAGAAACATTAACCACCTCTCCCCCCCTCTCCCCTGTTCTCACCCCAGTAAATCCATCTAATGCAAACTAAATCAAAACAAATTGGTCCAGTGGTATTTGAGTGTGAGGCATGTGTATGTATATGTGGGAGCGAGATTCTCATTAAAAGCTGAAGTCCAAAAGGCACCAAGTTGCTGCAGCAGTTTTGGTCCCCTTTGAAGAGGAGAGCTCATTAAGTGTCTGTCCCAGTCTATGGCTCCCTTTAAAACTAGCACCGGGAATGTAAACCTACTGGTTCTCTCTCATCTTCTCCATGGGAGTGGTCTTGAATTCCCCCCATAAGAAGAAACTACTATGGTATTGTTCAACTTACTTTGAGAATCTGTATTTTCTTCCATATTTCTCTATTTATTGATCCAGTGATTATAGGAAAGCAGGAAAGGGAGGGCAATGTTTCCTCAGGGCTCACTCTGATGACTCAGGGGAGTTCACCATGGTGGCAGTGTGTGTGCCACAGTGCTCAGGAGTAAGGGCTGTAGAACAGGATGACTCTGAGTGTCCAGACTCCACCACTTGTTGGTTCTGTAACCTCTGTAAGCCAGCTTAGATCAAATAATGTATATAAAGAATTTATAACAGTCCCTGATACATAGTGGGTATTAAAAAATGCGGGCTACAGTTTTTTCCTCTCACATAATGTCTCTTCACTAGGAACACAAGACTGTCCACCTGCAGCCACATTGGACTTTGTAGCAATAGGGGAAGTGCAAACGGTTGTGCAAAATAATATCGTTATTTTGAAAAACTAAACTGGAGGAGCCAGAGGAAGGAAGAAGCAAGAGGGTGGTCACCGTATCTTTTCCTCTTTTAATTCACTCTGCGAGGAGTTTTAAAAAGTTACCCTTTAAAACACAGAGACCGAATTATGCCTAGATGGGGACCTGCATTATTTGGAAGAAAACCTTAAGTACTTGAGGTGGACTGTGAAATCTTGAGGAGTTTGGTGTGGTTGGAACTGTTCTTTAGGAGGTGGGACAAGGTGATGAAATTATTTATTGCTTCATAGGGTGGGGCAGAGAGAGAAATGTAGAGAGTCAGTGGGACATCTCCTGGGCTCCAAGATGAGACTCCCCTTCTCCACCAACATCTCCTCCTAAATTAGCAGAATATTTTTACTTGGATTGCAAAACACTTGATGGAGGTTCGTCATTTTTCATAACCAGTTCTGTGCCCATGTGGATACAGGGGCTAGAAGCTGATATTGCAAGACCATGGGAGTTGACAGAAATCTTAGTGTCCTTGGACATTCCCTGGCTATGGGAATTAGTTAGTTTAAAGAAATTTCTTCTAAATTAGAAGGACAGGAAGAGTCTTAGCTCATTAAACTTATAATTCATTGAACAAACAGTGAGTGCTTATAATCGGCCAGGCACTAGGCTAGGATCTGAGGATAAAAACATGAAGCCATACTCATCACAGAAAGAATAAGACAGGCAAGTAAATCCAGTGAGATATCATGGCCATAATCAGCTCAGGTGCATAGGAAAGTACAGAGAAAATCTACCAACTCACACTCATCAAAACAAACTTTTCTTTTTAGAACTATATACTGCAAAAAATAAAAGTAAAAAAGAGCATTTCTTACTAGAATTTTAGCTTCTGCTAAAGGAATTGAGAAAGAAGTGATTGTATCAACTTTTGCATAGGATAAATCCACAGGCACTGATCCCTGTGGGGATGTCTTTGAGGGCAGCAAGTACTAGATATAGAGAAAACAATCTCTGGCGATAGGTCTGGCTGTAGTGCTGCCCATGATTGGTCCAGGTACAAGGGTATTCTATAGAGCATCTTACAAGAAGCCACTTGATCTCCTGCATATTGCAACTACTGGGATGGCATTTCAGAAATTTTAATCAGAAAAATTGTAATTGTATATAGCAGCATTGGTGTCCTCTTCTGATCCTTTGGTCTTATCCATTGATGGAAATGGGGCTGGTGCTTCCTAGGGTAGTGACAGTAAGCATGGTGGTTAAGAGCACTGGCTCTAGGGCCAGATGCTTGGGTTCATTCAACCTAAATTTCCTGCATAACCTTGGGCAAGTCACTTAATCCCTTTGTGCCGCAGTTTCCTCATCTACAAAATGGCCATGATAATAGCATATACATATACCCCACAGGACAATTAAAGGATTCCATGAGTTTATAAAAGTGAAGAGCCCAAAACAGTGCCCAGAACATAGTAAATTCTCATTAAATGTCATCTAGAATACACTTACTATATAATATGACCTCGGATAGGGAGTAGAGAGATTTTAGCAGCCTCAGACAATCGAAGTTCTCAATTCGCTTCCTAACCCTTCTTAGGAAATTTCATATTTTATTTTTAAGTGATTTTTTTAAAAATTTAATAGCAGACCCATTATATTTACTGACTTCTATTTTAAAACTAATCATCTACCATGGACCCTTTGCCTCTGGTTTAAAAAGTGCCAGTTACCACTCCCTTTTTTCTGTTACCCTTCTATTGATCTTGATTATAATTTTGCCCATCTGTTCTTTTTCTTCTGGGTGATAAAAGCCCAGGTGCTTGATTCTGGACAAGAATACTAGTTTCAAGTCTTATTTTCTGGGTAACCTTCAGCAACTTACTTAATCCCTCTTGGCACTGATTTCTCATCTCTAAAATTGAGATATGACTTCTGACCTTACTGAATTACTGTGAGGACTAAAAGGGCTATCAGTGCATATAACAGAGCCTGCACAGGGCTGGCCACTTAGCACAGGCTCTTTCCTTTCCTCTCTCTACCAGGCACTGTAGTGATGATTAAATCAGGAAGCTCTGGTCCCAACCCCACTCTAACTAAGGAGGTTCAATCAGCTGAAGTTGGGGCTGGTGGTACACCCTGAGGGAACTGCAACAGCTGTGAAAACAGTTGGCATCAACAAAGTTTCAATTATAGCAGATTAACATAAGCATTACCTAGAGCTGAAGGGACAGCAAATTCCCAGAGCATTTGGCCAACCTTTTGTGAGAATGATGTATGACCCGATTAGAGACAGGGGTTCATGAAGAGCAAAGGCTGGCACTAAACTGTTGATCTTTTGACCATCACTGCCGCTGGGACCAATTTATGGCTAATTTGCTATCACATAAGTATTTTGGGGTGCTCCAGTGATAAGTTAAGGAGACATGCTTGGGATTCTACAGGCACATGTCTCATCAAAGTACCTCAGATAGATATTGGGCACCTATCAAAGCCATGAGGAAAAATTCCTTATTTTCATACCTTTAGGAATGGTGATGGAAGAGCAGAGCATGTTCGAATGCAAATTAGCTCTGCCTGCGCTGGGGAGGTTGTTTGATCTCTTTTCCCTTTTGAGGGAATTTTTTCCTTTTTAATTTTCTTCACAAACCAGAGATTATGTGCAGTCAGTTACAGACACTCTCTTCAAAGAAAAATAGATTTGATTTCTGCTAATGATGTTCTCCTGAGATGTGTGTGTCTAATGATGTCCCACATACCCAATGGCACATTATAGGTGACAGGAGATGTTGCTGACAGGCTGACTGGTATAGTAGTGTCTGGCTCTTCTGGGAACTTAGATTCCATCTAGTGTAAACTGAGGCCAAGGGAAGGAAAAGCATATTCCCAAGGCTGCAGGAATGCTGGCAACGCTGGAAGCAGAGCCCAGGTCTGCAGGCTCCAGTGACAGAACCATCATCTGTTTTGGAGGTTGTTTAGAAAGGGGCAGTTTCTTTTCTTTTTTTTCTTTTTTTTGATATATTTTATTGGTTTTAGAGAGGATGGGCGAGGGAGAGAGAGATAGAAACATCAACTATGAGAGAGAATCATCGATTGGCCGCCTCCTGCACGCCCCCCACTGGGGATCAAGCCCGCAACCCAGGCACGTGCCCTTGGTGGGAATCGAACCTGGGACCCCTCAGTCCACAGGCTGATGCTCCATCCATTGAGCTAAACCAGCCAGGGAAAAAGGGGCAGTTTCTTAGGAAACAATAGTAATTATGTAGTCCTCAAAAAATATTTCTGAGGAGAGATCAACCAAAGGACTTGTATGCATGCATATAAGCATAACCAGTGGACACAGACACCAGGGGGGTGAGGCCATGAACAGAAGGTGGGGGTGGGGGAGAGGGGGTTATAGGGGGATAAGGACACATATGTAGTACCATAATCAATAAAAAAAATTTTCCTAATTCAATCATTTTGAACAGGGGTGAGGAATGTCTGGTGCTCGGGCCGTATAAGGTCCACAGAATCATTTAGTCTGGCCCTGCCAAGGCAACTGCAGGCGGGATTAAAAATTCAATAAACCTGGGAGCTTTTTTCATAGCAACATAAATTTATATTAAGTGAATTATATTAAGCAAATGATGTTATACATATCCAAATGATCCTTGGCAGAAAAAAAGGTTCCCTACCCCTAATATAGAACAAGACTAGAGTAAAGGTAATTTTCATGAAGTAATTATTTACCAAAAGAAAAAGCACAAAGAAAATGTAAGAACAGGTGACTTAATATTTGCTATCTATATTAAAAAATAGCTTTTATTTTTCCCTAATCCTTTATGTTCTCTGGCTTCCAGGTTGCCCACAGCCTAGAGAAGGAAGCCCAAGTGACACAGCCTGGCACTTGCTATCTGGTCCTGATGTCCTTTCCAGATTTGCCTCCAATGATCATTCTTACCTGGTAAGAATGGTAGGCCAACTGCCTTATTTGTCTTGTCCTGAATACCAGTTGACTTTTCCACCTCGCTGCTTTGGCTGTTGTTCCTTTAGCATGAAATGCCTGTCCTCAACTTGAAGGTCAAACTCGAAGTTCTTCCCTCCTGGAAGCTTCAGTGATCATCTGTCCAAATGTGAGCTTTTCTACCCTCAAACTCCCATGAATTCCATTTTTATTTGCTCATAAGGAACTCACCACATATTAATTTGTATTAGTAATAATGAGTAGTGTTGCTGCCATTTATTGAGCATTTACTAATAGGTCTCAAACTAGTCATTTCAAATGTTATTTCATTTTTTTATATGAAAGCTATTTCAGTTTGTGTGCTAGATATTTTATCCCATCTATAATAATAAAAGGGTAATATGCTAATCAGACCTGACATCCTTCCAGACAAAGCTGGAGCTTGAGGGAAGCAGCCCGGGTCCCGGGTGCCTGCTGGTGGCCGGAGGGAAACCTGGGTCCCAGGTACCGGAGGGAAGCCTACTCTTGCATGAATTTTCATGCATCGGGCCTCTAGTGAATTATAAAATCTTGGAGGACAAGGACACAGGCAATGCTAAGCAGCCTGTGATAAAATGTATGCACGATAAAAATATAAAGGAAGAAAAGCTAAAGGTGATAAGTAAATGTAACCTTCTCCATTTTTACCTGTGCCCAAATAATTATTGATTTTCACATTTTCTAACTTTCTTTCATGGATTCCAGCCAAATGATGGGTTTAATGGGCTCATTAATCTGATTTAAGCAGACCACACAAGGTCTTCAGTTTTACATGGCCACAACCAGCTGCAGGGGAGTAATGGTGTAGTCATTACACTGGTCTTGGCTGGAATCCTGAGTTCCCGGCCTTCTTACTTTCCATGTGTAAGTTACATGCCTGCCTCTAAGCGGCACCTGAGATTTTTGTGTCCGAGCTAAATACTCTACAGGACTATTCAAGAATGTCAAATAAATGGAATAGAATTGTTACATCATTGGATGTTTTCAAGATGGGTTTATTAGAGTCTGAGGGCAATTGATGATCTTGGGTGTGATAATTTAAACATGTAAAAGTATCCACAGGGTTATTTCTGGCACTGGCTTCTTATTTACAGCCAAATAGCCTATCCTGTGAATTCTGTTGGCTGATTTACAGTTTTGCTTGTACAAAATCTTGGCATCAAGTGAAAGCTTTGGAATGTTATCTGAACAAATTTTTGTTTCTGGCTAGGCCTAATCTACCTAAACAGGTGTTTTTGCTTCTTCATTTCACTCAGAGCAAACCTAGAGGTGGTATTAAATACTCTTAGTCCCCACAGAAGTAACAGTAACACTTCCTGCCTCCCAGATTTCTGGGAAACGTGGTTATCAAGTTATAAAATAATAACGTGATAAAAAACTGAACACATGATGAAAAGTCTTTATCTTTGTAGAGTAAATCTAAGAACCATTTATGCCTAACAGTTACAATTTACCCAGAAACAGAATAGTACACAATATCCCAGAAGACTCTATGTCCTCTAAGCGACAATGACAACAGCATCTCTTTGAGGAGGCAAACTTTTAAAAGACTTACGTAGAATCAGTGTCCTTTTCTTTCTTCCGTATCCCAAAGGCCTTCCTTGTACGTTTTTTCAATCCTGTGGGAAAACAACAAAGGGTCAAAGCAATCTATTTTTTATTTGAATGTTCCTGGCAACATTCATATAAACATAATTTAAAAGTTGCAACACATCCCTTAAATTTGAATGTTCAAAAAGCAGGGAAAGTTTCTTCAAGCGGGTGTGTATATATATATATATATATATATATATATATATATATATATTAGTGTGTATGTGCATATAATTTACTATTATATATTAATATTTTTATTGATTTTAGAGAGGAAGGGAGAGGGAGAGAGAGATAGAAACATCAATGATGAGAGAGAATCATTGATCAGCTGCTTCCTGCACACCCCACACAGGGGACTGAGTCCACAACCTAGGCATGTGCCCTGACAGGGAATTGGACTGTGACCTCCTGGTTCATAGGTCGATGCTCAATCACTGAGCTATGCAGGGCCACTATTATATTTTCCAACAGATGTCTAGCAAAGATTCAGCGCTGTAAGTTCTTAGCACCATAAGAAACAGAAGAATGTAAAAGAATGAAAAGGAGACCAGGGCATGGTATTGCAAGCTTTTCTTAGAATATTGTTATTCATACTCAAATTGGCCCCACCAAGAAACCAAGTTACAGATTTAGAAGAATAGCAATTTCCAGGTTAGATATATTCTTGAGACTTGGATAATTCCAAGACACAGAATATGGAAAAAAATATATACCCCAACATCTGTAGTCCAGTATCTGTTGCTTCCTTATGTGGTCCTTACCTCTGGCTAAAATGCCTTTCCTATTTTGTTGATATTTAGAATGTTAATTCATCCTTTACATCCTAGCCAATGTCATCTCCTCAGCAAGGCTGTCTCAGTCCTGGTGGTGTAAGAAACTGACTATCCTGTGCTCCCAAATGTTGCTCTTGTATCAACCTGTTTCACTTACTAGTTCCTGTGTCTGTTTCCCTGCTAGGCTGTCAGTCTTTCTATGACAGAGGCCAAGGTTCCTACATTTGTATGTCCCTTATACCAAGTGCAAGTACCAGATAATATTTGTTGACTTAAATGATCTCCGAGGAAGCATCATGCAGGTAGGGTAGAGATAAGGAGACTCCTTTCTGCCATCCTGGACAAAGCCCAGTCTTCGTTTCTCCATTCTTACCCTGTCAAGGCTTTGCTTGAGATTCACATCTCCTCTATGTTCCACAGTTACATGTGTGACTTGTGTTTCTTATGTTAGTGAGTTTATTCAAACATGCTAAATGCCTATATATTCAAAACCTTAGGTATTTTTCCGGTGGTTTGGAAAGTCTTCTTGACAAATTGGAGTGGAAAAGTCACTGACTTCAGGGTTTGTTTGGCACTATCAGGTGGAACAAAGGGAAAATCATGACAGAATCAGTGATTTGATGACACCTTCTTCCAAAACATGTGAGTCATCCCAAATTTCTCACATTATCTGAGTCACTCATTATTTGGCTTTTAGGGTGCTACTCAAATTTAATCTCCAAAGTGCATCTGTTCAGTCTAATTTTGCATTTTCATAGTTATTTCATATAAAACATTTAGGTCTTTAAAATGTCAATGTTTGTTTAAAAAAATACGTCCCACATAAACGTATTCTTCCTTTCTCTCCACAGGAGAAATTTTAGGAAAACAAAGTTATTGACATTTAAAAAGCTAGTCACCTACAATATTTTGGACATTTTGGCTCCATTCATTTTTAACTTTGTTAAAAACTTTCTTCCTTCTAACCTCTGCCTTACCTCCTTACAGAGACAAAATATCAGTTACAATCATCATTTCCTCCTTTAATTTTCCTTGGGCTTCTGAGTCTCTTAATTGGTTCCTCCATGCTTCTAATTTAGCTTTGGGTTAATAATGAATGTTATATTCATTTTATATATATAAACTAATCACTACTGGTTTTTATAGGACCATAAAACAAATGCTATTATTATATTATGTTTTATTTTCTACAACTTTAACATGATTAAGAAATAGCATGCCCTACCAAATAGATCAGAAAATACATGCAAATTCCAGTAATTCTTGTATTAAATTAGTAACAAAGCAGGCAACAGTAGTTTTTCATAGACTGTCCTGTTTTTGACCACCAATCTGGACAACAGCCAATATGAACTAGGTTATGAATGTCGCGAGTTGTCCATTTTCCAGTGAAAAGTACACTGGATCAGGATTCAAAAGACAGAGTCCATTCCCAGGATCATTTCTAATTGTGGAGTTGAATACAAGTTACATTCCTTTTGGATTTTGATCTCTCAAGCCTATAACAAATCAGCCAATAATACTAAAGGATAAAAGAATTTGCACATGTTCACAAAATGCTATGCAAATTCGTATTTTTAGTTTCATTGAAAGTCATGTTTCCCATATGTAGGATACAGCTATACATGGAATATATATACAGGAATACACTAAAGATGTGACATTCCAGAAAATCAAAACAAACCCAACTGGTGAACTAAAAAATAAATAAATAAATAAAAATAATAATAATAATTAAAACCTTTTTCTCCCTTAAAAAGTGGAAAAGATTGAGGAAGTTTAGGAAAGTATGAAGAAAACTCTGAAAGAATAAAGCAAACTAAGTTATAAAATGTAAAAGTCATTCATATCTTAGCAGCACTTTGAGAAGATTCAGGAAGAAACAATTGCACCAACTGTGTTAAAAGTTAGTAGGCCAGAGGGAAGGGGGATGGGCAAAGGCTGGGTGGAGGTGGGCAAAGGCGGGGGGGGGGGGGTGGAGGGGATAGGAACAGTTGCAATAGTGTAAACAATAAAAAAAGTGAATGGAAAGGTGTGGGTATGTTTTTTTTAGAGTTTATTTTAAAATTTCAAAGAAATTCTTTGAAAAAATGATGGTCAAAGACCTTACAGGGATAACAAGGTTTAGACACTATCTATAATAATAAAAGTGTAATATGATAATTGGACCAGACAGCCAAACGACCTTCTGGACGTCCTTCCTGAGATCCTTCTGGACGATTTTCCAGACGAGGTTGGGGCTGCGAAGGCTGAGGCAGCCAGGGCTGCGAGGGCTGAGCCCCTTGAATGAATTTTGTGCACTGGGCCACTAGTATATCATAATCTGATAAGCTTAACAAAACACTATGTCTAATGATTCTTCATTTATGACCCCAGAACTCCATGAACATTTAAAAGTAATTTTCTACAGTGTAGTTTTTTTCTGGGCTGGGACTTGAATTTTTTGGCCAACTATATATTCTTTACCAAAATGGGAGGGAAAAATAATGTTTTTGAGAAATGAAGTGACTTTTCCCTTGCCAATATATCAAAACAGAGAGCTCTAAAAAAAAAAAGTTATTGTTTTGATGATCGGGGACTAGAAGGGTTCTCTCCCAAGCTGTGGAACTGAGAACATTTTCCAGTGTGCATCCAGAACTGCCTTCTTAGATCAGCCACACAGGAAGTCTGGCCTCTAGATTCTCTCCACCTAATTTAGATTCTTTTAGCTTCCTTTGGGATTATGGGAGAAGCTAGTCAAGTCTGGGAACAACAACAACACAATTAAAAATAGACTTATTTTTAAGAGGGTAGGAATGCGTATTTCAAAATAGGCAGTCCTATCTAATGACATTCAAACTGACATCCTATCTAATAAAGAGGGAATATGCTAATTGACCCTCATGCCATTGCAAAGATGGCGGTGCCCACAGCCAATAAAGAGGGAGTATGCTAATTGACACTCACACCATCGCAAAGATGGCGGCATCTACAGCCAATAAGGAGGGAATATGCTAATTGACTGCCCTTCCCTCAAAGATGGCAGAGCCCACAGCCAATAAGGAGGGAATATGCTAATTGACCATCCCACCTCAAAGATGGTGGTGCCCACAGCCACAAGATGGCAGTGCCCAGTCCCCCCGGCCTTGCCGCGCACCTGCCTCTGGAGTCCCACAGTCCCCTCAGCTCCCAGCTGCCCAGGGCAGGCCTGAGGCACAGGCAAGCCCTGGATGGTGGCTTCCCAGCTACCCAGGGCCACCCGAGGCTCAGGTAACCAGGGCCGGCCGAGGCTTGTGCTGCTGGCAGTGGCAGCAGCAGAGGTGTGATGGGGCGTCACCTTCCCCGATCACTGGGTCGCCTCCCGCCCCTGAGGGCTCCCGAAATGTGAGAGGGGGCAGGCCGGGCTGAGGGACCCCCCCCCCCTCCAGTGCATGAATTTTCATGCACTGGGCCTCTAATAAGATAATGAAATAAAGCAACAAATGTAGCAACTGACAACAGAGATGCAACACATGGACAGTACAAAAAAAATTTCATTATTGTAACACTGCTAGCTACCATTACTGAGGTCCTGACTATTGGCCAGGAACCAGTTGCTTTGCATATATTGTCTTATTTAATTCTCCTACAAACCTTGTGAAAAAATAGAAGGTGTTTTCATCTCAAGTGATGGCCCTAACGGTTTGACTAAGTTAGATTTTATTATCATCATCTCCAGGGAGGAAACTGAAGGCTCCTCTTCTACCACTGCTCCCCCAAATGTTGAAGTTCTTCCAGACTTTGTCCTAGCTGTCTCTATATCCTCTACCTGAGGCAAGTCCATCCACTCACATGGTTTCATTTGCCACCTGTATGTAGATGAATTATGAATCTGTAGGTGAGGCCCAGTACTATCTCATGAGTTTATGAATATGCAGTACTTTTTCTCAGAGTCAGGCTTTTATAAATCGACATTAGATTTCTTCAAATGCCTCAAGGCTCCATTTATTATACAAACTAGTGCTAACTGAAAGAAACCAGATATAAAAACTCATATGTAGTATGATTTTATTTATATAAAATATCCAAAGTAGGATGTTTCATTAATACAGAAAGCAGATTAGATGTTGCCAAGGGCAGATGGAGGAGGACCCAGGGAGTGATATCAAGTTCCAGAACTAGATTGTGGTTATGGTTGCACAACATTGAGAATGGACTAAATACCACCGAATTGCACAATTTAAAATGTCCAAATGGGAAATTTTATGTTATGTGTATTTTACACACACACA